AGAATGGCCTGAAGGAAGACTCATATAGACTTAGTCTTCAAGGTTCCATGTAAGAAGGCATTTTTAATATCCATCTGATGCAGAGACTACCCACAATTAACTGTGATAGACAAAAAGAACACGAATAATATTCATCTTGGCAACTGGTACAAACGTATCTTTATAGTCGATTCCATAAGTTTGGGTAAATCCTTTGGCCATCAACCTGGCCTTGTGTCTCTCAACAAACCCATCATTATTATATTTGATTTTAAAAACCTATCTACATCCAATTGATTTCTTCTATTTAGGTAGTTTGACAATGTCCCAAGTATAATTCTTGTCAAGTGTTTGAAGTTCTTCTTTCATGGCCTTCCTCCACAAAGGTTGAGAAATAACAATTTGAAAATTGGTTGTCTCTGAATTATTAGAAATAGAGCTAAAAAAAATGAAATAGTCAGGAGAGATATTTTCATAGGAAATATAATTTTAAAGAGGATAATAAATGATATGACATGATAAGTATAAAAATCTTGAAGTCTAGAAGAAGGTTGAGAGATACAAGAAGACCTGCACAAGAGGGGTCAGGTGGCGTCACGACAGAGTGTTATTTTTCTAAACCAGTTTGATAAGTTCTAGAGGTATCTTCAGTTCAACTTGATCATCATGATTTGTTTCGGGTGTGTTGGACACATCACTAAAACTGATATTGGGTAAGGGCAGACAATATCTTGAACTATCCCCCTGAGTCATATTTTCCAAACCACCTTTCAATCTATCACGTAAATAAGATTTTATTTTAACAAATTGAACATCTCAAGATATATGCATTTTCCTAGTTGTGGGATCATAACATTTGCATCCTTTTTGACTAGATGAGTATCCAAGAAGTATACATCTCCTGGAATGTTTATCAAGTTTATCTCCGTTGTACCCAACTATATGAACATAAGACACGTATCCAAATATACGTAAATGTGATAAATCAATTTTTCTATTTTTCAAAACTTCAAGGGGATATTTATCCTTAAGAATTTTACTCAGAAGTCTGTTAATCATGCAACAAACAGTTAAAACAACTTCAGACCAATAAATTTTTGGAACATATATCTGAAACATCAAAGACCTTGTAGCTTCCAAAAGGTGTCTATTTTTTCTATCCAGCAACTCCATTCTGCTGAGATGTTTCAACACACAGTGTTTGGTGTATAATATCAAGATTACATTAATGCTCAGAAAAAGCTTTGTTCATATACTATGTGTCATTATTAGTTCGTAGAATTCTAATCTTGCCATTTTATTGAGTGGAAATCAATTTGGAAAATTTTTTGAACACAAGAAAGACATTTGTTTTTTATTTCAATAAATATATCTAAGTAGCATGATACCAATCATCAATAAAAGTAACAAAATATTTAAAGTCAACATAAGAATCAACTGGGGTTGGTATCCACACATCAGAATGTATCAATTAAAAACGTTTATTTGAAATATGTATAGAATACTGAAAATGAAATCTTGTTTGTTTTGAGAATTTACAACTTTCACAAGAATGAGAGTTTAAATATAGAGAGAGCATTAAAATTTTCAAAACCCTATTTAAAAGGTGTCAAAATCTCCAATGTCACAATTTATTAATGTCAAAACTATTTTGACTAGCAACCAAAGCCTTATTTTTTTGATTAAATAAATATAGCCCATGATACAATGTTCCTTCACCAATGTTCCTCCCCATGGCCCAGTCCTGAAAAGATACATAGTTGGGAGAAAAAAGAACATTGTAATTCATGCTTTGAGTAATTATATTAACATACATTAAGTTAGAAGAAAATCATGGTATAAAAAAAACTTTAGAGTTATGAGACTCGGAGAAGAACTTAGTCTTACCAACATAATGGACATGAATCAATGAACCATTAGCAATAGACACAAGATTTATATTTTCATTATTTTTGAGGTTGGATAGACACTGCAAATTACCCGTCATATGATTTGTAGCCCCTGAGTTTATTATCCAAGAAAAAGTGTCAGAGGAAGACATGGAAGCATATGAGGTACCTTTGTCTAGGAATGAAAAAGAATGATCATGTGTAGAAGAAGAACCAGTGTTGTTACACTTGCAGTAATGAGTGGTTGCAGTCTGAGCAGTAGATCTATCGGTCGTCCTATTATTAATGGGGCCTTAAGTGTAGGCATAATACCTAACACCTATCATTCACATATCCTATATTATTGTAGTAATCATATCTAGGACACCCTCTATTCCTACTACTTCTACCACCATCGCGATAATTGTTAGGGCGTCTACCTCCATCATTATTTTGATGCTTTTTTTGTTTCATATTCCTCATTATTAGTAACCAGATAAGATTTCTCAATGCTTTCTTTAGAGGTTTTGAAATCAAGATTCATGATTTTCTTCATCGTCACGTGTCGAAGTTTAGTTTTTCCAAAGAGAGAACGAAAAACAACTTTCAACCAATCAAGATAATTAAATCCCTTCAAAAGAACAATAGTAAGTTTCATGCTGAAGTTATTTTCTGAATCTTCCATTACAAAGAGATAAACAGAACCATAAAAACTGACCTGATCAGTAAATAACAATTAAATAGTAGAAAATATTTCAATTGAAAACAACCGAAAACCCCAATAAACTCTATTATTTCTCTCTCTAAAAATCACCGATATATATCCAACATCTTGTTAATAATGTGTATCCAACGGTCTGTGGGTGCTAAGAATCAAAACCACGTGCAAGACCTGCTAGAGAGAAAGTGGTACGTTTGTGAAAAAATTCCAAGAGGAAAAACCCCTCTCAAAGCTTTCCTTTCATATGCTGCGTTCAAGATCTTTTCTCAAGTCACGTTACTATTTTTCATTAACGGTGCTACTTTTCCTTATCATCACCTTGCTATTTTTCATTGACGGTGCTACTTTTCCTTATCACTTTTCTTATTAAACCTTGGATTAAGGAAAGTTATGGTGCAAAGAGGAAAAAAACCATGATAAAGAAAGTTATGGTGCACAAAAAAGATCATTGAGCAAAGAAGTCAAGTAGTGCAATGGAGAAGAAATGACCACATCAATGTTAATTCAAGGCAACCACCGCTTGGAACAAGGAACGACCCAAGTAACAGATCGGAAAAAGATCGTTGTGCCAAACTTGTTGTCGGCTAGCAATAGATTGTTAGTGATCACATTTCCTCATCTGATACCATATAGAATTTGCAATTAAAAAAATAGAGACTAAGGAAGAGAGAAGAAGAATCAACATGACGTATACGTGGTTCGACAATAGAGTCTACATCCACGAAAGGTAAATCGGTTTTTCATTCATAGGGATTACTCTAGTTTATAAGAGATTTATAGAGTTACAATTCTTGTCTTTTAAAAAATAAATCTCATTACAACTATAATCCCATAAAATAAAAAACTCTCAATATAAAAAACTTTATATCTTGATGTTATAACATTCACCATGCAATAACCTTCAACAATGGTCCAACAGGTACTACTAGCCATGTTCAAAAGAGTCCACGTACATTTTGATCCCACGCATCGCATATAATATTGTGCTCCTGTAGCATGCTACTACAAGAGCATACTATACAACAACTCCCCTAGGCAGAGATTAACTTGGGATGATTTTTTTGATATCAAATTTAGATTCATCTAAGTATCATCCGATGATTATCTTCAAGAAAAGGAATTGGATATTAAGCTATTAAACACCGAGATCGCGCCCTACAAAAACTTAACATCTCTTGTTTAATCTTCCGACATTAGTTTGTTTTGAGGCACATAGGGAGTCCGATTGAATTTTTCTTTTTTTGACGTTGATTATTAGGTTCTAAAGGCTACATCCCCAACATTTGGGATCGATGAAATATTCCAAACGTGAACTTTACACGAGGGAGCACAGATCTTTTCACCATAATCTTTTTCATAAAATGAGATGGTGAATGTTGAAAGCTTACATGTCGGTGGGGAGATTCACTCCAATGTAAATCCCAATTTAAAAGAGTACTTATTAAGGCCTAATTATTGGAGATGCAAAGTCCTGAAAAAAAGATTCCACTTCACGTGTGTACGGTAATGATTCACGTGTGTACGGTAACGATTGACTGGATGGAGATTGATAAATATGTAGAACCTTCAAGGAATTTTTTTTTTTTTCTTGAGGGCACGGTTTTTACGAGTCTTAGGACACATATGTAGATGTACATTCCCTCCTCGTCCTTTGTTTTTATTTGGATTTTAGATTTAAAATTTTAAGCATATATAAACCCTAATATAAATACATAAATTTTACAACTAGTGATATATTTTTGAATTTTTTTTTTTAAACCATTGATTTTACTTATTTGAAAAGTCCACAACACCACGTCCATCATCTTTAATGGTGCAGTTGGCATAGAGATGCATCTATAGCTTTAGGGGTAAGGTGCACCTTCAAATTTTATCATAGTATATAATTTTAGTGTAAATTTTTTTGGATTATCTCAAAATCTATTTTTATATCTAATTATAAAATTTTAAATTTAAAAAATAATTAAAATTAAATATATTTATAAACATATAAAAATCTAAAAAATGGCCAGTGTAAATATGTTGTAAAATACGTTAAAAAAATTTAAGTCGTGAGCTATAAAATGTAGTTAGAGAGCCCAACAGTCTATCCTTTTGTTTTTGGGTAATTCAATGCGTTTTGGGTAATTCAATGCGGAAGACAGGCTCTGCTCGTTTTTCCAAATACTTTAGGAGTTTTTTTTTTTAAAAGAATTCATGCATATCGGCCGGCCCGGGTTGGGCCCGCCAAGAATCCAAATGGTACGTTCCAGCTCGTGGAACATCAGTCATATAAATTATGCCGTATTTGCACCAACACCAGGAGAGAGAGGCGTTCAACGTCCTTGGCGTTGTTAATGAAAGTGGACTCGACAGTTTCTCTCTCTAAATCTCTGATCTTTGTCTCTCATAAAACCCCAGCCTTTAGTTTGTTTCCTCCTCCCAAAAGGATAAGAATCAGAGAGCAATAATAATAATAAGAAAAGGATCATGTGGATCTCATGGATCCAGCGAGCCGGCCAGTCCACGCCCACCTGCTTCAATTATTTTTACAGTCTCCCTCACCTTCACCAGTTTTGTTTTGCTCAACCATCACTCCAATTACAACTGTTTCAAATTTTGTTTGTCCATCACAATAAGAAGAAGACAAAGGACGAGTGGGCACCTGCTTTTCTTGCGATCTTTCATTGTTTTTTGCTGTGAGTTTTTTGTATATAGCACCTGCTGCAGTTGGGTTTTTCAAAGAATTGGAAGCGGAGTTCTGTGTCAACGAATAGGGGGGTTTCCGGTTTCCGAGAAGAGTGGAGTGAGAGTCGAGTTGCAGTAACTGGTTGAGTGTGAGAGAGAAGAATTGGGGGTTTCCGGTTTCGGAGAGAGAGTGGAGTGAGAGTTGAGTTACAGTAACTGGTTGAGTGAGTGAGTGAGAGAGAGAGGATGATGGTGATGTTGTCATTGAGGTATATGGATGTGGGTCTACGCAAGAGTGGGCTGGAAGTGTTTGGTTGTGGTTGTTCTTCTGGTTATTGTGGGGGTCTATCTTCTTCATTGTGGTCTCCGTCGTCTGTGTTGTTCTCATATGGTGGGAAAAAGAGCAAGAGAAATGGGCATTGCACCAGGGGCAGGGTCGCAGGGAGAGGTGGACTGAAGACGTCGTGTGGGCAGCACAAAGGCACTGTTTGCTGTGGGGTTTCATCAGTTCATAGTCCAGATACAACGTTTCAAGGTACTTCTCTCCCACTTTGTTCAGGTTTCAGTTTATTGGGTTGCCCTTCTTTTGTTCTAATTTCTTCAGCAAATATTTGCAATTTCATCTGGGTAACTTTTTTTTTGTTGGGTATCTGATTGAATTTCTTATAACTCATTGTTCAAATTATTTTCTTCATGTTGGACACTCTTATTATAATTATTATGTTGCATATTTTTGTAAAACCTCTTTCTTGGATTGTTGATTTGATTAGGCAAAGTTTGACGTATCTAGCATTCAGTTTCGAGCTTTGTCGGTTAGGGTGTTGACCATTGCAGCTGTGTGTTCCAATTGTTAATCTTATCACTGAACTACCCATACGTGAAAAGAAAAGAAAAAGAACGAAGTTTGATGTATCTTTTATATTGAAAGTGTTTCTCTTGGATTGGATATGCAGACCAAGTGGATGTCCAATTTGAGTCTAATGGAAGTTTGAATTCCGACGAACCTCTCTCTGTGTCTTCTTTGATGGCTGATGTTGCTCATGATCTCCAAATCTTGAACCGCAATCTGCAAGCAGTAAGCCCAATCTGCCATTTTTGAGTTCTGAGTGTTGAATTTATTGTCTTATTTGTGCTTGCAATGTATGTGAACTGTACACAGGCTCTTTATTCTTTTTTTTATTTTAATAAAGCTCTTTATTATGTTTCTTTTCTAGGATTAATGATTCTGTGGGCAAGGCACCTGGGGCTTTCCCATGGATGCCCGGGGCATCCACTCTGTCCAATCTAGTGGATGGTAGCAACATACATATTGGGTCCCATCTAGTGTTTCAAAACACGGATGGTTCACCATGTCAGATCACTAGATCCGCGATCCAGATTGGATTGAGATTAGTCCCAATCGGTGATCCAGAAAATATTTTAAAATAAATGAAAATAAAAATTGAAATAAGGCTTTATGGGGTGGGGATTTAGTGGGAACTTCAGAAAACATTAGATAAGCTTTAAAAAAAAAAAGAAAAAAAATATGTAATGGGGGTTTTAGAACCGGGCCAGGATGCTTACTATCCCGGAAGCGGTCTGATCTTGACCGATTCCCAAGCAATCTCTGGGTTTTAAACCACTGGTTCCACCATTTCCTGAGGCTCTGCCCGTTCGTTGATTCATTTATTGGATTTGAGCTTCCCAGAAGATGGACAGTCTAGATGCACCTGACAAGTTCAGAACCCTAAACCAATCACTCCCTTCATGTTTTTCTGATTGGTCTAAACTATCTTACATGGGTTCTTCTAGTTGGGTGCCATACCCATGTCACTTATCGATATGCTCACGACATAGATTCTTCTTGATTTGCACCATTTTAGAGACGATCTTTTTCTTTTTTTTTCTTCTGTTTTGAATAAGCACATGTGAACTTTGACAATGTTCATGGAGCTTTGGGAATATCTAGATTTAGCCAATTAAAGTACAACTATTACTGCTTGCTACTCATCATGAAATAGAAAATTAGTAAGAAATTGTCTCATTTGGTTATCTTTAGTAAACCACGTCGTGGAATCCTCTTCTTTATGCATGAGGAATCCGATACTCTGTAATCGTGTCAGACACTAACTACATGCCCGTGTTCATGCGTATAGGTTTTAAAAATCAAGTGACATGGGCAGTATTTCATGTGCTTGTTCTCCGTTCTTTTTTTGTTGAATCATTGCTCCTTAATAGTTACATGATTGCTTTTAGAAGTTCCAGCAATCCAAAACAGAGATGAAGATGTTACATGCGCTCGTGTCCTTGTTTGTCTCACACTTCTCATAACTTCCTTATTTTTGTTGAATAATTCCCATTAATTTTCTTATAGTTGTTTGTCAAATTGACATAACCCATGTACATGATATTCACAATGTCATGGGCACATTTTGTCTTGTTTAGTTCATCCTACTGCCGGCATTATATGTTAAGTGAAATGACTCTTAGAGATGCGACATGGAAATTTGATTCATGGTTTTTGACTTCCTGCTGTCTCTCTAAAAGAACTCGCCAGGAACTGATTCTAGTTTTTTCGTTGCTTATAGATGCTTTAATTTCATTTACTATTTACCATGAGGAAGATGTAATAATTCAATGCATTTGTGAGAGAATAAAAAGTCATCTCTGCTGTTGGACATATGACCAATACATGCCCAACAAATGGGGCAAACAAGGTATAAGGTTAATTGGTCTGCTGCTGGACAGCATTGCCAGATGGATGGCATGACATGTAAATATTCATAGAGTATGTGTTTTGTGGAATTATCATAGTTTTCCAAAAGCATTGATATGATTAATGTACTCTTCGAATAAGCCACTGTTGCAAAAGATATTCATAACCAGTTCTTGGATAAAGAATGTTTTGACGATGTCACCCCCTGCATTAGTTCTACAACTAGGATTCTTAACTGTTGGATGTGACATGCTTCCATGCCCTTACTTATTGGCTGGTTGCTGGGATCCTAAATATATGTACCTCCTTTTTGTCTGTTGTCAGATTGGGATCCACTTTGATGTCCCTCTTATATTTGAGCATTTTGAATTTTGTAATCTTTCAAAGATGTACATCTAGTTTATAGGTCTCCCCAAAACCATGACTTGGCTGAATGTACGTCTAGTTTTATCTATGTCATTGAAAGTTTGTGAATTTTTCCAGAAAGAAATAAAAGGAAAAAGATATAAAAAAAATATGTTTAAAAAGGATGGGAAATGACACTGATTTGATGAATTAAAGAGAATAAAAGTTGAAAGTTAACCAAAATTTCAAGAAACATTCCAGGTTCCCCGATCTTCATGCTCGATGCAAATCAATGCCTCTAGTCCTTGTCAAAGCTTCCTCTGACAATCGTAGTTGGAACCCCAGAACCAGTTTTGGGTTTCAAGTTCAGGTTTATGAGATTCAAGCTCTTAAAAATTTTGGGTGAATAGTGAAATCCTAAATTAAAATCTCAAAAATCTGTAATTTTCTTTGGGGCGGAAATAACCTATGATTGAATGAAGAACCCGAAAATAGGTTTAGGGATCAAAGTTCATAAAAAATAAACGAACTGTGGCAAAGAAATCACAACTATTTAAAATTAGGCAAAGTCTAGTTAGAAATTCTTGATCCGTTAAATCCGTCAAATGTGATTGTTTCTACTCATCTGAAGTATCGAAGGGATAGATCTTTAAAAAACAAAGCTACGGGCCGAATTTAGGCTCCAATAGGTGGCTTGCTTGGCTCAAACTCTGAAAAGGAGGCGGATTTCTGCCCCCTGTTATGTATACTACCCCCTAAGTTTGGGGTGATCCTGTGCTCGGCATTTAGGAAATGCATCTAGGAAGCCAGTTTAGGAAATGCATCTAGGAAGTAAGTAGATGAAATTTATTCAATATCACTTGCAGAGATAATAGTAGTTAGCTCGTGTTGATCAGTGGAGAACTGGAGCTTGAATGTCACTTGACTGCTCGTTAATGCAATTGAGCTTAAACTATAGGACTTCCTACTAAACAAGAAATTACTATTCAATTATCATTAAACTATGTATATTTTAGGCAACTAAATGTACTCCAAAAAATGAATTGGTTTACTTTTTGGATCAATAAAAGAATTTGGCATAGTAAAAATAAGTGAAGTAAAGAAAAACTGGTACAGATGAGCCCCTCCTTCCAAGTGTTGTCGAGTTTCAGTTTCAAGGCATACAATAATGTTGTAGAACTCAACTAGGTTTATCATCATGCTGCAATTACATGAACTTCTGAAGAAGCTAAACTTGTGATGAATGTAATCTGGTAGAAGATGACAATTATAGATGGGTGTTTCATCCATTTTGAGAGGCTATTCTCGAATTATTGTTCCTGACAATTAGAATTGGGCTTGCTTTCTGCACTAGGATCGAGAGGGTAACGGAATTGAGGTCTCAGGGTAATTTGTTTGATTGATTTAAGATCTAGAGTGGTCTTGCAACATTTTCGGGGATCTTCCTTGGTTTTCTCCTTCTTCTAGAATTCTACTCTCAAGATGAGTGGTTTTCTTCAACTCTTAAGTGATATACGCTTGTTTGACGAAGTTTCCCTGAGCGAGAATGTGAGCCAGGGTTTAGGGAATGCCATGTAAGAATTCCAGTTAGAATTTTGGCCTTTTCTGATGTGTTCATCTAATTGGAGTTCTAGTTTTCGTTTTTCAGGTGGTTCTAGAAAGATTATGGAGTTGCAAGTGAGGACTAGAGTAGCATTCAGCATTTGGAAAGCCAGAAACTGGCTTTCCTATTGCATGTGTTGCAAGGTGAACTTCTGATCCCCTAATTTTCAAGCCCTGTTTAAAGACTTGGTAGGGAGAGACAGGGCTATGAGGCAGGTTTAGAATTTAGTATGCAAAAATCGTGAAATTAGCTTTCCTTTTGTAAATACTGCAAGGTCAACCTATGATGTCCTAATTTCAAGCCCATTTCCAACCATTGATCTTGGTAACTTCCTGACAAAAGTATTTAATCATCTTTCATTGTTTCAAACAACTATTTAAATATAAGAGTTACCGGTCTAAGAACAAAAATGCCCTTAATGGATAAAAGATGATTACACAAAGCACAAGTGATCAACGTACGCCTACATGTAAATAAACAAAATATGATAGTCATATATGTAGCTCGTACACTTTCCTCAAGCTTAGATGAAGATAACTCATTATAGTGTGTTTGAGATATGTTGAGTGGTTTCTTTAAAGAGACTCTCTTCTGGAAATAGTTTTTGAAAGCTCATTGTTTTATAGTATGTAAATGGTTTAATTTAAACCTAATACAATATCGGTTAGAAGGGGTGAATTGGTTCAAGTGGGAGGCTCTAAAAGGGCAAGGGGAAGGCCCAAATGGACATGGATGAAAATAGTGAGAAAAGATATGGTGACGTATGGTTTGACTGAGGGTTTGACCCTTGATGGAGCAGAATGGTGGAATAGGATTCGTGTAGCCAACCCCAAATATTTGGGATAAGACGCAGATGATGATGATGATGACCTTGGTTTAGTTCAACGATATAGAACATTTCCATGATAAAAGGATAGGATATGTTCTATCCATGCGTCATATACTTGAGGTGGACGCTTGGCATGTTGCTCTTAGATTGGTTCAACAAAGTGTCATAATTCAATTTCTTAAGATGATCCTTAAGAAACAATAAATCCTAATTTTTATAACTAAAAGTTTTTATAGATCTGGATTATGATTCTCCATTAAATGTCAGTATTGTACAATGCTTCATAATGCTCCTTGAGATCTAAGTGGTTCTTTGTAAGACAATATCCTGGTCTTTATACTAGCACACTTGTATAGTATCGGGAAAATAGACCAGTCATCCACTGCCCATCATCATCAAGTGTTGCTTGAATCCTTGTTTTTACTGACACAGTTATGGGCTAAGTAGAATAATGGTTCATCTCCAGGGTCCATTGATAATGACAGATGCTGGATGCCTGGTTTATGTACCTCGTTGTTATGCAAATTGTGTGTTTGTTTGATGTTTGTTTTCTATCCAGAAATTGATGTCGTGTTATCAGGTTGGCGCTCCATCTGCATTGAATTATGCATATTCGTGTTTCTTCCATTTTATAAATGAGATCATGTTTGTGAAGAATTTCATGAGATTGCAAGCATTCCAAGTTGTTGTAGGTTTTTCTGATTATTGCCTTAGAGACTGGCTTTCATGTACATGGAAATAGTTATCCTTTACAAGAACTTCCTTAAAATAAGAGGACAAACGGGTCTCACAAACATTTGATACTCACATAGAGTTAGCAGAAGATAAGACATTCCCATGGGATCTCTATCCCACTTTCGTGAAATTGATCCCCAATTTTTGGGGAATTGATCCCCACTTTTTAGGTATTGCTTGTAGCTACTTGAAGGGGCAACAACAGGCCGAGAAGATTATTCATTTGGATCTCAGTTGTTATCATGCTCTCTCTAATGCTTTTGGATGTTGTAAATTGTAGAATTGCAAAAAAGCAGCTTGATATGCTTTTGGATGTACAAAGTGTGAAATTGTCTGTTTGCTTTTACAGTTTTACTTACACGATAATGAGTGAGGGAACTATTACCTGGACTTTGTTTTAGTAATAACTTAATCCTAATCATTTCTCAGGTCTTAGAAGAAATAGCATAATACTCTAACTCAATGCTAGAGGTTGATACAACTGGTTTGTGCTGTTAATCCATGTAACTTGGCATTTACCAAATACCAATGAAAGTGCTACATCCTGTTGTTCAGGGGGATCGGGGGTGGGGACTGGTTGGGTTTTGATGAGTTGCATAAACTAACTTAACCAAACACACAAGAGGTTGAAGGAAAGTTTACGGTAAGATAAGATAAGCTTTAATTTTGAAGTGCCTATGAAGAAGCACCACTGACACCTCATTATGGCAACTAAAACAATGTAGTAACTAATTTAGCCAAAACGAAGATAGATGTGGGTTTTACAGGATGCTTCTCCTCAATATGAGATGAGGCATAGAAGATGCCTGGTAGCATATTGAGGCATAGAAGATGCCTGGTAGCATGATCATTTGCACTGGTTCTTTGCGTTTCTATGTTTCATTTGTTTGTGACTGAATCAAATTGACTATTTGTTTCCTTCCTATAATTTGCAAAATGATGGTAAAATCTTTAATTTTTTCACTTTCAGAAATTGTCCACCCTTTCCTATTTTATATTTAATATTAATATTCTATTTTACTTTCCAGTAAGACATTTGATTAATTATTATTTGTTGATGAGTTACCCTGCAATAGTTGTATACAGTTTGCCTTTATGTGGTAGTCTGATGGATATGGTTTAACAGGTGGTCGGTGCGGAAAATCCCGTCTTAATGTCTGCGGCCGAGCAAATATTTAGTGCCGGGGGAAAAAGAATGAGGCCAGCTTTAGTTTTTCTTGTTTCCAGAGCCACTGCCCAAATGGCAGGATTAGAGTAAGTTGTCTCATGTTTCTCTATGGAGTTTCTGACTACAACCTTCTTAGGTACATGATGTCTTGAAATCTGTTGTTATTGAACTCCAGAGATGTCAGACCACAGCATCGACGCTTGGCGGAAATTATTGAAATGATCCATACAGCAAGTTTGATACACGATGATGTCTTAGATGAAAGTGATATGAGAAGAGGTACCTTTTGGCATTATCTTCTGAAATAATTGTTTTGTACTGAGATTATTGAGGCCCTCTTCAGGCGATACTGACATTGCTGATACATTTCTCCTTTCACTTTTGTTATCTACTGAAAATCTCTGTATTTCAATTTGGTAGGAGTTGCATTTTATGATTGACTATTTCCTGGATATTTCTAATCTAGTTGTCTTTTCTTAATTTAGATTGTAGAAATTTCAATAACTAACTATTCTTGCGAGAGTGAAAAGATCTATATGTGAAGTTGCTAAACTGAACATGTCATTTATTCATCATTTATTTGCTAATCTGAACAACTAGATAGTATTGTTTTCTTATAAAAAACGGATTGAGATTTATTGTCAATGATCACATGGAGAATTTCAATTGTCTGGATTACTATTTCCCAAATATGAAATAATATGGTAGTTCAATTTTTAGATATCTAATTCATGGCATGGAGAATATTTCAGCATGACTTTGTGATCATTGCGAGTCAGGATTTTTCCCTTGGCATGATGGTTAGGGAGTTGATAATTGCAGTGCCCACAACTGACCTTTCCATAAAAAATAGGGGATTTAGAAATTAGCAGTTACTGCAAGGTGTTTTTAATAGATTGTGATAACTGCAGGTTTCTTCTTTCTTGCCAGTAGAAATGAGGCAATTGTATACCGACAGATTTTGTTTTTGAGTGAAATTGATGTTTTGTATTAAAATAATCGGAATACTCATTATATGAATCTGTCCCCATACATATTGTAACTTTAAAGGATTGTTTTTACGAATAGTTAATTCTTCTTAAAAAAAAAAAGGATTGTTTTTACGAAATGATATAAAAAAGGCAGATTTCAATGGCCTGTCTCTGGTGAATGTATCATGAAATTTTGGGCCACGTGCCCTCTTTTGCAAATGCATCCAACGCATTTGCCTTCGTCCACGCATGCTTGAAGAGAACTTATTGGAATCTTGCAATCCCAAAAAATTGGTCAAGTTTGGATTCTAATCGCCTGGGACAAGGGAAAGACTTAAATGCCAAAGAAATTAAATTATGGGAAGCCCCTACTAATATCAGAAAGAGGAACATTCTGATATCAGCAGGGTCATAACTAGAGAAAAGGCTATCCTATTGCTTCATCTTCCTAGAGAAAAGGATGAATGGCTAGAGAGGCCTTTCATGGAAGAAGAGATCGCAGGGCAATGGCAGAATTAGGTCAAGACAAAGTTCCTGGTCTTGATGGTGTCCTTGTTGCTTTGTTCAATAAGTTCTGGAATGCCATTGGCCCTGATATCCTTGTGTTTATCCCAGAATCTTCCATAGAGGGATCATCAATGGAAGGCTTACCACAAGTCGCAACCATGGTGGGTGGCAACGTGTCAGCTTTGGTCCGGGTTGACCCTGACCTAGGCCGGACTTGACTAGATTTCACCTTGACGCAAACTCGACCTGGACCTAGGTCCTTTCCAAGTCATTTGGACCAGGACAACTTAACTAGGCACCTGCAGGATGAGGTCCCATGGTGCATGTTGTTCGCAAATGACATAGCTTTGATCGATGAGACCCAAACGACGTCAACACAAAATTAGAACTTTAGAGGGAAGCTCTAGAATCCAAAGGTTTTAAAATTAGTTAGACTAAGACAAAATATATGGAATGCAAGTTTAGTAATAATAGAAGTAGAGACGAGGGAGTAGTTAAGATTGATAGCCAGGAAGTATAAAAAATATCGCACTTTCGATACTTTGGGTTGATAATCTAGGAAAATTGAGAGATTGAGGAATATGTTGACATAGAATTAAAGCTGGATGGGCGAAGTGGAAATGTGCAACTGGAATTTTATGTGATCTCCACATACTAATAAAGCAGAAAGGTAAGTTCTATACAGTTGGGAGACCAGCTTTGCTTTATGGGGTAGAATGTTGGGTGGATGAAAACAATATACCCATAAAATGAGT